ATTGTAATTATCAATGCATAATCAACGATGTTTTCTTATTTCTTTCCTGTTTTTTAATTTTTTTAAAAATTTTTCACAACTTTTCACTGTTAAATTTTGTATTTTCTATTACGCTCAACTTTGTTGTTTACATGTTATTTATTAAAATTTATTATTAGATATTTATTTAGAAATCCGATGTTGACTTAGTCTTATGAATGATTTGTGCTTATCTTTTTCATGCAATATTTGCTTGGTTAAAGTGAAAAGTTGAAATTTTTTAAAATTTGAATAAATTTATAAAGTAAGATCCTTTTTCTAATTTTTATGTATTCCTTGCAGAACAGAATACTTAAAAACTTAAATACTGTAATGCTTTTCTAATTCGAATTACTTAACGCTAAGCATTGCTGATTTAAATGAAGTCTGTAATGATCGTGTTTTGCTGGCATTCATATTAGCACTTTGTGTATTAATAATAAAGTGAGTTATTAATAAAATATACCTTAATTTTATAATTCTTCAAAGTTATTAAAAATAATACCTTGGCATGTATTTTTCATTCTTATGCTTTGTTTTTTTGAATACTAATCTAAATAAATAGTATTTTTGCGTGACATAGCAGGTCAGAATTTAAATAAATTAGCAAATTATTTAAACGTAATGATTTGTTCAAGTGAATGGCTACAAAACAATGCAAGGTAAGAAAAAATACACAAACAACAGCAACACATACCCAATATGTGAGCAAAATAATGCAAGTAATTTGTGGTAAAAAAAATTTATAATTCAATGAAATTACTTGCTAAAATAATAAGCGTAGAGAAAAATTCGACACTTTGTTAATTTTTTTCTTACTTATATTATAGTGAAAAAAATTGACGCAATTTGAGGTATTATCAGCTTTTTTTAACCTTTCATTCTGCGCAATTTGTGTAAAAGTCTTTAAAGAATTTGTGAAAATTTATTCGAAACTTGCTTGAACTTATAGTAATACAGATTAATGACAATGTTTGTTAATTTCTAGTCATAGTCATGAATTGCGTAAGACTTCATGTAGGACTTTTTTCACGTAGCGTTTTGAAAAGGTTAGAAAGCATTTCAGGGGATAAAAAATGTTGAACAAAAATGAAATCTTACAAAAACTTATAGAAAATATTATTTAACACATTTTTCTAACTCTTAGTTATACTTTTTTATTTCTGCATTTAGTCATATAATTGCATAACTTAAGTCTTATTTATTCACTCCACATTTGTTAGACATTTACGCAGTTTTTACTTGCTATATTTATCACTCTTAGTCTTAATTTTAATAAACATTGCGTCTAGAATTCATTCTGTAAGCAAAAATATCATATACTGGTACATTAATGTAAGATATTATTTACTTACTTATTTATGAAAATACAACTTTGTTAATGTCGTCAAAAGCTATTAATAAGCAGCTATTAAATATATAATTTCAAGTACAAAGTAAAATTTTAATGCGAGACGTAAATATATCCATACTATTTTCACGTTAACTTTAAGCTTAAAACTAGTGAAATCTAATCAAAACGACTATTTAAACCATTCACGTAACAATTAATGCTTTTATTCATTTCTTTGCTCAATCTATGTCTTTTGCCTACTTGAAGAGATATTTAGTGTGTTAATTTGCTATATATTAATATATTTATTCAAAATTTTCCATCTGTTATGAATTATGAATTCAAAACATGACTGAAACAGATTAGATGCTGATAAAAATAAGTACTTAAAATGGTAATTATCAAAGTTAAGCAATTAGCACATATATACAGTATATTGTGGCACAGCTAAGAGTAAGAGGGGATAAAGTTAAAGCTAGATAGAAAAAATAGTAAGAGGTAGTTTTTGTTTTAGCTCAGAAAAATCCATCAGTAGTCATTAAGCAATGCTAGAAAGATTTATTCTCTTAAATGCATCAAAAAAACTTCTAGCAAAGTTAATTTAAAATCAGTTAGAATTCAAATCATTGTCTCAAATTTAATTTTGTTTCATCGATAATTCTTACTGTTTTTCGTTTTTTTGCCCAATCAGACTTTTATAACCAACCAATTATTGGACCTACTACCAACTTCATTCCTTCAATCATTCATTTAATCATTCATTGACTCAATCACTGGCTCATTCATCCATTCATTCATTCATTCATTCATTCATTCATCCATTCATTCATCCATTCATCTACTCATTTATTCAGTCATCCATTCATTCTTTCGTTTTTATCCAAGTCATATAAACTTTAAATAGCTAAAAGCGCACTTTTTCTATTCTCCAAAGTTAAACACTTTTCTTGTTTTTGGCTTCGTTTTCACAAAGAATGTTTAGACAAGAAAAAATAGATAACTTTACTGCTAAAGTATGCTAATAGAAGGTATTTATATTATTATACTGTAAGCATAATAATAATTTTCATTATTACTCGTTTAAATACTAACTTATTATCAAGCTTAAGACTGAAAAAGTTGTCATCAGACTATATAGTAGTAAAAATTCTTTGCAGTCTCGGAATTTATCTCGTCTGATTCTGATATTTCATAGAATGAACAAAAGCTAAAAAACATATCTTCATAATTTATCATTTATTTTTTGTAACGTTCATTTTATTTAAATTCTAACCTTTTCCTTGACAGCAGTGATTAGTGTTTACAGAGATTAAGAGTCAAAAATTCTAAAATTTAAAATATTACCACATAATATTATCTTCATGATGAAAATAAAGACTAAATAGGTAAAGTATACTAAGTATAAATTATTAGTTAAAAAACAAAGCATGCAAAATTACTGAAAAAAGTGAAATACCATTTCTTGTAAGCGTTTTATTTGAAAATTAATAATAATA